ATTAGGGAAGTGAGGCATGGGGGGCAGCCTATACATTAGGGAAGTGAGGCATGGGGGGGCAGCCTATAGATTAGGGAACTGAGGCATGGGGGGGCAGCCTAAATGAAGAGTCAGCAAGGAGCAGGAAGGTAAAGTAAGAGAAGGAGCAGAAAGGAGAAGGAACATAAATGAGCAGGAAGGGTCTGCAAGGAGCAGGGGCAGCAAGGAGCACAAAGGGACAGAAGGAGCACAAAGGTAAAGGAGCAGAAAGAATCAGAAGGAGCACAAAGGTAAAGTAGGAGAAGGAGCAGAAAGGGACAGCAAGGAGCACAAAGGTAAAGTAGAAGAAGGAGCAGAAAGGGTCTGCAAGGAGCAGAAAGGAATCAGAATGAGAAAGGAGCAGAAGGGCGCAAAATAAGCAGAAAGTAGCAGAAAGGTAAAGGAGCAGAAGGAGCCGTGGATAGAAGAAAGTGTGATAATGACTATGCCCCTTCCCTTTCATGACACTGTCAAAAATGACCAAGCATGGATGTCATTACAATTATGTCCCCCCCTGGAAAAATTCCTGCAGATGCCCATGGGTGCAGAGGTTTTTAGAGTGGGAGCAGGGGTTTGTAGGAGAGGGGGGGCAATGGCTTGTAGAGGGGAAGCAGGGCTTTGTAAAGGGGAGCAGCGGTTTGTAAGAGGGGGAGATTGGAGCATGGGTTTTGTTGAGAGGGGGCAGGGGTCTGTAGAGGGGGCAGGGATTTGTAGAGCAGGCAGGAGTTTTGTAGGGGGGTGCAGGGGTTTGTAGAGGGGGGCATGGATTTTGTAGCGGTGGCATGGCTAGGAGTTTTGCAGAAGGGGGAGGTGGCAGATTGTGAATGTGCTTGGGGAGGTATCAGTCTTAATAAGAACTAAATAATAAACAAATATGCCTATATATATTTTCATTCCTTCATGTATTTGGATATTTACATATAATTTTATATATCAAAATACACTTAGAATTAAATCCCTACTTTTTGGGTTTCAACATAATTAAATCGAGAGTTTCCTTCAGCTATAGGACTCCAAGATGTTGTCATGTCCTGTCATCATTCCGGGGCTTCTTCACTACTGTGCCCTCCAACCATCAAGTCTCAGAACCTATGTTTGGGCCTCTCTTACTTATTCTCCTCAACTGAAAAGCCAAGGATAAACTCTCTTGGTGGCTGCAGCACATGGAGGCTTGTAATGGTCGTGCCATTTTCAGTACTGCTCCAGACCTTATTATCGAATGCGACACGTGTACGCTGGGGCACATGGTGCTGTCCTATCTACACAATTGTGAAATGGTCACTGATCGAAAAATTTCTTCACATCAATTATATCGATCTCTTAGCCAGCTCCTTAGCTCTCCGCAGCCTGCTGAAGGCCTCCAAGGATTGTTCCATCTTCCTTGCAACTGGACAATATCTCCACAGTCAGTTACATAAATTATCTTGGAGGTGCAAGATCACACATTCTGATGGACCTGGCAAACAATTTTTTGCAGATCTGCCTGGATCACAACTTATCTGTCCAAGAAGAATACATACAAGGATTGACCAACACCATAGTGGATTGGAATTCCGAACATCTTGTTTGAATTTTCAATTCCCATTTTTCTACAACTGGAGACTGGACACAGAGGCTCTTGCAGCGGATGCTTTTCTTCAGCAGTGGACGGTAGCTGGTCACTATGCCTTCCCAACATTCTCTCTAATCTCTTGTACTCTGCTTCATCTGAAACACAATCAGACACAATCAGATCTTACGTGGCCTTATCACTCCATTTTGGACATCTCAACCACGGTTCCTGACACTCCTGAAGATGGTCATCAACATCCTGAGATTCCTTCCTCTATCTTCGGGCTTCCTACTAGATTCCGACAGGTACTCACATCTCTTCTTAAACATCACCTCCATTTCTTAGCGTGGCTCATTTCTGTGAACCCTGTTTCATGTCCGACATGCCACAGTCAACACTTGACCTTTTAGCAAGAGTGTGGGCTTTGGGAACTAGACGACCGACCAAGATAAAGACACTCCTCACTTACCGACCGGGTTCCGTTCCTACAACCCGGTCATAGAACGAATTGGTTGGTAAGTGATGAGTTAAGGGATTCCTTGCTCTGGTGTGGTTGTCTATGTTCGGGGAAACTTCCCTGAACAAAGACATGTGCATCAGACCAGGTAATCCCCACAACGGCTCACACTTACGCCTGGTCATAAGTGCGAGCCATCATAAAACAAGTAGGTGCTCAATGAAGACCACCTGTAATTGGAACTCATTGCTTGGTTGGGGCATGAGACTTTTAGAAATCGTGTCGGCTCATGTGACTTACATTTTGCGTTTTTTACACACCTGTTTGGTCTGGCTTACCGGACAGTGAACCTTTATGTCCCAGTATTGGATATTGAAAGGTATTCTTATTTTTTTATTTTATTTTTTATTCTTTATTTAGATATTTCTCAGACGGACAAAAATTTCACTTAAATCTGTGTTTCTTCTTACAAATTGAAGTTGTATCTAGAGCCATGTCTCGACTATGTCTTGAGAATATGAAGCCAGGACCGTTATATTAAAAATTGGTTCTCCCCTGACCTAACCACATACTACTGGGCGATTCACCTACAACAGGTGATCGAATGGGCAACATATCCTCCGGACAAACTCTGACATAGAGGCCAGCTTTACGACGCTCCCCCTACAGACACTTCCGTGGCAGCCCACAACTCCAGTGACCAGGGGAGAACGAGGCCACCCCACAATAGCCACCACCCTCCAAGTCTGGAAGAAAATATCGACAGGGGAAGAAAAATCTCCCGCCTACCTCCCCCCTATACCCAATCACGGGTAACCCGGCGTTCCGCGGCCTAGACACCGCTCGGATCATGACCAGCCTGGGACTACCGTCACAATGTAAGCTACAACATCTGCTTACAAATGGAACCATCACACCGCTCCCTGACCTACCCACACCGGAACCCCTGGACTTAATGATGAGATTCAGACACCACCAAATAACCCTCAGACTCAAGCAAATACCCAACATAACCTCGGCTGACAGGCAGCTAACCACATTTGAAACACTATGCACCCAACCCCTACCCCCTCCACACGCAATCTCACTGCTCTACTGGCTACTACAGACTCTGCCAACCAACCAGCCCCTCCCATATTTCACTAAACACTGTGAGCGAGACCTTGGCTACCCCCTGACCCCAGAACAGTGGACCAACGCCTTCAGGCTGACACACAAATTGTCAATCAGCACAAAATACCAGGAATCCGGATACAAACTCATATCCCACTGGTATAAGACCCCAGAGAAACTCGCCTCCATCAACAACACCTGTGCACCAGAAGTGCTGGAGATGTGGCAGAGAACTCGGCACGCTGTTCCACATATGGTGGACATGCACCCAGATCCAACCCTATTGGCAAGAAATACACCGGATCATCTCTGTAATCACGTGGAATACACTCCAGAGAACTACCTACTCCATCTGACTCCCATGCCGCTGACGACCTACAAGAAAGCCATCATCCCCTACCTGATCAACGCTGCGCGTAGCCTCATCCCGACCTTTTGGAGACAGACCTCAGCCCCCGCTACTACCGACTGGATCACCAGAGTGGAAGACATACGGAACATAGAAGAAACTATCCTGGCAGCAAGGAGATGGAGCCAAACCTACCAGAAGATCTGGTACCACTGGATACACTGGCTGGCTATGAAATAAAGACCCGGAAATACCTCCCACAACCCATCTTGGAAGCCACGACACCACGTGCTGCGAGACCGCCTGCGGACACCCCCTCACACGTGGGTGGGGGTTGCGGTACCGGGGGTGGGGTGGCGAGCCCCAAACCACCCCATGGGCCCTTCCCTCTTCTCCTTCCTAACCCCCCCCCTCGCCCACTCTGCCTGGCCTGCCTCTTCCCCCCCCTTACCCTCACCCTCTTGCTCTCCCTCTGCTCCCGGTTTCCTACTGTAACACCCGTTACTTGGGAGGAACACACCGCACAGACAACAGCTTAGGCTGTCCAACCACATAGTAGCAGGCACCCCACCCTCTCTGAACCCCACAACCACGATTATTATTTACCTTCCCCAACTCTTTGCCTGCCAATGAGCAACCAACCCAGTGGCAACATACAGGCCACTAAAATAATAGGGACTGTGACGAAGTGCCCTTCGCCACTTGTGCCTGGAGAGGACTGCTTGCTGCTTTTAACTCACAGACACTGTTTGGACTTTTCAACACGGTGCCATCTCGCCAGTATTTGTTGCACAGAGACATCGTGCGGTGGTTTTGGACTATACAGCAGGGGACACATTATACAGTGATTGTTTTTCATTTAGCCTGTATATGTTCTGCAGAATCTGCATTAAACTGTATTTTCCAAAGTACTGAACGGATCTGGGTGAATTTTGGATATGTGGTTCACCCAGATCCCCCAGTTCCAAGGATATACTTTTTATGGGGTTATTGCATGTTTTGGGGTCCCTGTGTGTTTTATGAAACTGTATTATTTCTGGCAAGCAGATAATTGAACTTTGTGTATTGTAGAAACTCAATTATCTAGCCTGGCCCAGAGGAGGAGTTTTGTGTTGCATAAATTGTGAGTTCTGTGTGCCAGTAAATCAGTCTTGTTCCAGCATTAAGCCTTGGCTCATGTTTGGGGGATTGGAGAAATACACTCTGGGGATTGCTATAATCACTTACTCCCCAGAGGAAGCTCTTGCAATAGCTTGATTTGTTCCTGTTCCTGCTCTCTGGGGAAAGAGAGGTTCACCCACTGGAAGCTGGATCCTGGCCTTGGGTCCAGGGTGGGTGGAGACAGCAGAGACCCCGGCGCAGTTTCATCGCTGGAAGTGGGGTCTGCAGTGCTGATGGTGTCGGTTGGAGTGCTTGGAGTCCTCAGCGAGCACTAGGAGCATCGATTGGCGGAGGTACTCAGTCGGAGTGCCAGCGTTCCGTCACAGGGACCACTCAATCCCACCAGATACAACCAACTACCTACTCCGATATATACTTTATTCACGATGTAACCTACAGAACATAATTGCTGCCCACCTGGCCAACTGATCATTGAATGTCAATATTGCTCTATGATATACTCATTTGATAAGCCTCAGTTCAACATCCCACTGACACCACACACAGACCTGGTTCTCAAGGAATGCAAACTGCCCAACGCAACATAGACGAGAAATGACCCACATGGCCATATGCACGTAACATGCCTCTGCAAAGGCACTTGGACATACATATATACATAAACATTCCCGACAAGACTTCACCGCAACCCTGACCAACTTGGTACACGGACCAGATACTAGAATGCCACGCACTACTTATTTGTACCTGTTTTTTCTTATGTGAAAAATTTTATTTGCATTACCCCTGATCAAGGTACCATGCCTCTGTGTAGGCAACAGTGCATACATCTATTTCCTGTGCAAACCGGTTCAATGTATGTTATCATTTCGCTTATAAAATAAAAAATAAAAAAATTGGTTCTCACTCTGAACTATTACTACAGAAACCTCACTGTGACTTCAGCAGGGCCGGACTGGGGATACAAAGCAGCCCTGGAAAAAAAATTTGTGCCAGCCCCATAAGTCACTGCGCCATATATTGTCGCGTGTAATATGTAAGGCTATGTCTTGCCAGGACAGATGATTGAGTAATATATATATATATATATATATATATATATATATTGCTTTTTCTAATATAAAATATTGGTCCTTTCAGGGTAAAGCGTTTAATTATACAGTAAGCATACGCACATGCAGACACAGGCAATTTCACTGACATTTCAGTGACACACACAAGCTCATTGATACACAGCCTCATAGACAAACAGTCTTACTGATATACATCAGCTCATTGACATAAAAACACAAGCTCACTCACTAGCAGGCACACGCATGCAAGCAAGCTCACTCACTAGCAGACGCACACACACAGCTTAATGTGGTGGTACTGGTGTCTATAGCATGTCCCTACAGGCATTTCAACGTAAACACTGACTTTTCAGACAAAGGCAGTGTTTACATTGCTTCAAAGTGACACTGCTAGTGACAGTCCCTCAGACGGTCACTAGAGGTGCTTCCTGTGTTAGTGCCCTCCCGCCCTCGCGCGCTGCTGAATGAGACTGGCGCCGGAATATGACGTCATATTCCGGCGCCGGTCTCATTCAGCTGCGTGCTGGGGAGCAGAGCCAGCGCAGCTCCCTCAGCGGCCGCCAGGACAAGTCCGCCAGCGGCCGCCAGGACAAGTCCGCCAGCGGCCGCCAAAAGACCTCCCCAGCGGCCAGGGGAGGGCTGGCAGCCTTAGGCCTGGGGGGCAAAACCAGTCAAGTAGACTGGTGCACCTGCCCAGGATCAGAGCCGGTGCAAGGATTTTTGCCGCCCTAGACAAAATAAAAATTTGCTGCCCCACATGTCACATCACAATGCCCCACCCATATGATCTGCCATATGAACTAACGCCAGTGCTGCACACAGTGTGTGTTTACATTAAAAAGCCTGCAGGGACCAGCTATAGACACCAGAACCACTTCATTAAGCTATAGTGTCGCTTTAATGTGAGGTACATTATAGATTAGTGTCACTAATAATATACTAGATTGCCTACTTACAAGCAGATGAGGATGATGATGGGCTGCAGTTTGGCTCCACTGGTCTGGTGTAGAACAGAATCTCTGGAGGCTGTTTGCAGCTGTGGTCACAAAATTCAATGTTCTGGGAGAATTGGAAGCAGCTCAATTTTTTTGGGGCCCTTACACAGCTCAAGGTCTGGGCCCCAGGGCCTGACGGTGAGTATGCCCATAAGGCCCACTCATAAGTTCCACCCACCCATGAGATCGCTCACAGGGAGTGGAGTGTGTAGGGGATGTGTTATGTGTT